GACCAAAACAACAATACAGTATAATACAGTCCACTTTGCTTTTAAATATTAGACAAATTATTATTGTGAATGTGATACTGTTTAAGAAGGATAAACCTTTTTTTTATGTTTCCTACATCACGTTTCAATTTTGTCTGTGTTTTAACGCATCCATGAAGGACTGCTTGGAATTGTTTTAAAATATTAACGGTATTTTGTATACATATTTAAAAACGCACTACAATTTTTGAAGAAAATTTTTTTTTTTTAGTTGCGATCTTCGCCCGCCAAAATTTGATTTTTAATAGATAACAAAACTGAGGTAATTTTATATGAAGAACTATGTACGTACAAAACCTGCAAAAAAAATTGGAAAAACTGATCCGATCATTTATCTCAGAATAATCACTGCAGCATATTTGGAAAACGTGCTTTGAAAAAACAGGTGTTAAACTACTTGAGCTATTGACCTCAGCGGTTAAATTTTGGAGGGTTGTTTGAAATAATCATTAAAAAGTTTAGTATGTTATTTTTAAAGTCATAGCCCATCGAAATATCGAAGTCGACTAATTATCGATTTCGAACTAAGTTTGCCTCTTAAATATGTAAAAATAAATCGCGGTTCAGCTTTTTTTTTTAACCCAAATAAATATCAGAAAGTATACTTTCACAAAAATTATTTTTATAGAGTCCTCAGTACTGTGTCAGACACTAATACTTAGTAAATATATTTTACTTGGCATAAGCACTTAACCCAACCAAATTTTACAAAAAAGTGAAGTAATGACATGGTAATATTGAATTATCTACATATATTTATAGTTTTTACCCGAAAAAGTGATTGTGACTGTTTTAATTTCCCTAAAAAATTAAACTCCCAATTACTCACCGCTTTCGTTTCCCGCATTCGAGCACCTTTTTGCACACCCAACCTTCATCAGTTTTGACCCAAGCCTCACCGGGCGAACGCCAGTCGCGCGAATAGAACGGCATTACTCTGGATTTAGCTTTCGCAGTTGTTTTAATTACCGTTAGTTTGTGTGGCTGCTGTCACTCACTGCAAGCGCCCGCTAACCGCTGCAACTGCTACTGTTTACTTAATGCACTTAATTGCTTAGTTACTTTTTTAAATCCGTAACAAAACCGCAATTTAATTTCAAGTTGTATGAATGCGCTTATTAATAATGTTCGAATTAAAAAAACTGTATTGTTTTCGCTTTCTTGTTGTTGTATTAAAGTTCGTTCGGACGGTTTTACAGTTCCACACGCACGTTTGCTATTTGTAATAATTATTCTGTTTCTTTATTCATGTCTGAAAGCAGGGAAATTTTTAATTGCAATCATTGTGCTATTCTCAATTTGAAAATTTCATATACATTTGTATGTGTGTGTGGATGTACATATGTTTCTGTATCCAAAARAATTGTGGTCACATACATACATATGTACATATATATATTCCAGATTATTTATGTATGTACATACATAAGTATATGCACGTTCGTCTAGCTTTTGTTGCGAAATTGCCCTGCCATTTATTGTATAACAGCCGTTGGTGAAGTAAACGGGCGACTTCGTCGTCCCTCCTCCTGCCCGCATTCACCTACTTTTACTTACCCACTCACCCATCATTATCATATTAATCATCGTTTGCGTGGGCAAATGATTTTAATGCAATTCAATGATTCCCCGGTAATTGCCTCTGATTGCTGGTGGTAGAACGTGAGCAATGAAGAACATTACAAATTGTGATTGTTTTTAAACAAAAAAATTTATTTACACTATGAATTGATAGTAAATGTATTTCAATGGTGCAAGAAAAATATTCGTTGGAATGTAAGCTCCAGACCCGATAACTCGAACTCAATTTACAAAAAAAAAGAGTGGAGTAGCTGCAATATCTATTGAGTTTCTTCTAGTTTTGCATAATTTTTAGCGTAAAAATCTTCCACATCGTCAATCAGTTTTCCTCGGAGGTCTTCTTGGAGATCGGGACAAATAGAATCCAAAAATTTGCAGAATGAATTGCCGATTATAAAAGTACATTAAAAATGAAAATGTACAATATTTTTATTTGTCTGACATGCAAGTGGATATAATTTCTTAAAGAAAGAAAACCTGAACTAGTTTTATGAAAGACTTTACTCAAAAAATCTGAGCTTAAGTGTAAAAGCCTTTTATTTCACTACATAATCTGCGAATGGTTCCAATTCATAAAGGATAACGATGTGATTCAATCTTTCATCAGAACGAAACTCGAAATTACCACACCAATCTCTTAAACCATAGAAGCTTCGGCTAGTTCTTTGATATGAATTTGTTTCTCATCAAGGTTTAAAAGTGGAGCTCCATATATGTATGTACATATGTATATGTGTGTATGTATGTATGTACATATGTATATAAATGATCAGGGGCCCAAGTTGAGTCGATTTAGTCACAAAGGGATGCACTTTGTCTGACCGCCTGATATTCGCGAAATAGTTTCTAAAATGCTGTTCTAAACTTTGCACACGCCCTTTTCTTCACAAGAAGCTGTTGTTTTGGAGCCGCCAATATCGGACAACTATTGGATATTGCTGTCATACAAACTGATCGGTCAAAACCAATACCTTATATGCAAGTTTTTTTTATTTGATAAAGTATCTTCATGAAATTTGGCATTATTTGTTGTATGAAATAGCTGTATAATCACCAAAAAAATTTTTTAGATCGGACTGATCGATCAAAAAATTAACTCTTTGTATAGAAAACTTTTTTTATATGACAAAATATTTCACGAAATTTGGCATAGAATATTGGTCAAGACATGGTTATAATCTCTACATTAATTATATATACATTTGTAATTGTCATACAAACTAACCGATCTAAATCAAGTTCTTGTGTGGAAAACCTTTTATTTGAGAACCTGATTTGGGACCTGAGTGAACTTTTTCTACTCAGTGTCAAATAAATGTTTAACTGTACAACAACAACAACACTATTACTTTTTAGGACAGAGATATACGATCTTTACATATTGATACGATTAAAACCATAACATATACATATGTACATATGTATGTGCATATATCAGTTCAAGTTAATTGAGTTCGAGCTAATTTCTAACATGCTGCTTTAAGGTGATATTAACAATTTCCCTCTATAATACTCCTCAGCTTATATTAATTGTATGGCTAAAAACTTGCTGAATATAGTTATAAACTGATTTTTTTCACATTACGAGTATTTCATAATTTCAATGAACCGTTAATGCTATATTTCATATTTCACATTATGTATGTATACATACATACATATATCACAAGTTTAAGCTATCATGAGTTCCCTTCGAAACAGATAGTAACTTGGCCATATCCCATTTTCAGGGAAATGCAAAATCAAACCAGTTGAATTGTTAAAATATATTTTTAAAACAATCATAATTATTAATGTTGCACTTTTAGACATTTCATACCAATTGCAGTTTATATCGAATAACCACAAAAAAGCAAAAAGTTACAATAAAAAATATATCAATATACCTACATATGTTATACGTTCATATATTGTACATATGTATATATAATATTATACATATATCCGCAAAATAATAATAATAATAGCATTAATAACCGCTATGAAAACAAAGAACGCTTTTGCTTCAACAACTCTGTGGTCAAATAGGCCGTTGCACAGTCTCGCACATGGTTTACATACATGCAAACATGCATGTGTGCTTTAAAGCGCTAGTACTTATTTACACACGTTCATACACATGTGCTCGTTCGTTGCGGAGCACGAAGTTTAATAACACTGTTGGAAAAGGGGAGTAGTGACGGGTATATGCATGAGACTCGTGCTTTTTTCTGGCACTTGACTTGTTGTTATTCTGTTTTGTTGTTATTGGCAATTTCGAAATTGTGTGGTAGACAGCTGATTTCTGCTTTTACGCTTTTTGTGAGTTTTCTATTTTGTATGCAATATGCTTTGTTGTATCTTTTTGTTGTTGTTGTATACTTTTGTGATAGACATTTCATGTTTTTTACACATTTTCTGCTTTGCTTTGCACTTTCGCAGCAACAGAGTAGAGTGCATGCAAGGCAATGCAAGCCAGAAAAAAGTAAATAGACAAATATGCGCAAATACAGATTTATATATGTAAATATAGCCACACATACAAATACATAATTTCATTAAAATCAGAAAAAGTATAAATTGTTTGGTTCTTTTTGTTTTAAATTTGTTTTGGCTCTTTGTTTTTGGCAGTTACAAATTCTCCTCTCTGCAAACTCAATCAAAGAAAATCATATACACACACTTACATTCATATGTGAATGCTGAGTTTACTACTATTTTGCGCAATTTGCCTTTAGAAAGCTTCTTCCATATGCCTTAAGCAATTGTGTATCGTTCAAAACATTTAATTATAAGGATTAATCACAGAAACTTTATTGTATTATTTGAAAACTATTTCGTTTTTCAATTTTCTGTTTTGTTTATAACTGTGTTTTTGGCAGTATAGCAAAGGGCAAGAACAATTACGCATCAACAGCAACAAATGCTGTTATGCTATTTTTACTTTTTTACTACACTTTTATACGGTTGACAATAGTTTTCAATGTAGTTCAGTTTTTTTTTTTTTTATAGAAATTTCGCTTTTCTTGATCAGCAGTTGAAAATAATGTTCTTCACGAGCCGAGTCACAAAAGTGAACTGAGCACAACGTACAGGAAAAGCCAATGCAGCCATTGCCAGTTCCATTACGTTCGAATTGTCTGCGGAAGGGGGAGCAGTTTGGTATTTGGAAAATTATACAACAACAAGGAAGTGCAATTGCGCGTTGCCAGAAAATAGTTAGTTAGCAAGTAATGTGGAAAATAATATTTTATAAATTATGCTCAAAAGTTTGCCAAAATGTTTGATGATTAAAGAGTGAAAAAAATGAAGAAAAAGTTATGAAAATATTAAATATAAAAAAAAAAAATATTACTAAATGGTTAATGCATATCACCCTGTGCCTTGAATTAACCTCAATTTTCCGCACAAATGTGCCAAAAACAGCCGTTCAGTTGTGAAAATAAAATGCGATAGACTAGAAGGAATAATTTTCAACCACTGAAAGTAATTTCACAAATAATTTATAGCAAAACTAAGAACGACAAAATAATCGTAACGTATAGAAAAAATAATATGTCAGCCGCTCCTGATGGTAAAGTACCCAATATCAAATTCGATGGTAATGCACCGAAGTTGGATAAAGCGCAACTAGAGTTTATGAAAATCATAGAACAACAAAATTTGGTGCGTGTGGAAAAGTTGCAACGCATACGTAGAAATAACCTGATTACTGCCGGCATCTTGGGCGCATCCGTGCTGGGAATATATGCCTACTCAATGCTATCAGTGCAACAAGAAGATTTCTTAGATGATTTTGAGGAACCGAAAAAAGTTTCAAAACAATAAAAACTGTTACATAAAGTTATATTTAGTTTTAAGACAAGCACACAGCAAGCGAAAGAAAGTTTGTATTGTTGTGTAATTTAGCATTATCTTTGGGAGTTCTACATTTCTTATTGCAAACGAAGTAAGTTTATTATTGTGCTTCATTTACGCTTTTAATATACTTATTTGTACTTGTTTGTAGTTAAATTTAATAAAAATGCCACAGGCTGCTGCACGCGTACTCACTGGGGGCGGAAGATTACCGCCCATGCCAACCATTCGCGATCTGGTGAAACTTTACAAATTGCGGGCCATAAAACATATGAGTCAGAATTTCATTATGGATGAACGTTTAACAGATAAAATTGTAAAGTCTGCCGGTCGTATAGATCCACAAGACACGGTGTTAGAAGTCGGCCCAGGTCCAGGTGGCATAACACGTTCTATTTTGCGACGCACGCCTGGCCGTTTGGTGCTTGTGGAAAAGGATGCACGCTTTATGCCAACATTAGAGTTGTTAAAGGAATGCGCACGTCCACTACATACACAAGTGGACATCTATGAAGGTGATATATTGCGTTTCGACATGGAGAAACATATACCAATGTCCGAATATCGTTTACATCTGATTGGCAACTTACCTTTTGCTATTTCTACGCGCCTACTTATAAATTGGCTGCAAGATCTATCGTTGCGACGTGGTGGTTTTCGTCGGCCGGACACAGCTATGACACTCACCTTCCAGAAAGAAGTGGCTGTGCGCATTTGTGCACCATTAGGTCATGAACAGCGTTGTCGCTTATCGATAATGTCGCAAATATGGACTACACCGTATATGAAATTTGTAATACCAGGCAAAGCCTTTGTGCCGAAACCAGAAGTCGATGTGGGCATTGTAAAGTTGATACCACTGAAGCAGCCGAAAACCACACTATCATTCGAACTAGTTGAACGTGTTGTCCGTCACATATTTAATATGCGGCAGAAGTATTGCAGACGCGGTTATAGTACGCTTTTCCCACCCGAAGATCGTGAAGATGTAACCGATACACTTTTCGAGTTGGCCGATGTAGATCCAACCGTCAGACCATTCGAGTTGTCTGTGGAGGAATGTTTGCGTCTGGCAACAGTGTATTCAGATTTCAAAGACAAACATCCCGAAGTGGCTCGATATGATTACCGCGCAAGAAAACTACCAATTGATGAATATTTGGATTAATGTTTTGAACATGTATAGTATGAATTATGAAACTATTACTTTTGTAAAAAAATTTAAATTCTGTACTTTCGCTTGTTTCGTCAATATAATTTTATTAAAAATTGTGGTTTTGAATTACTTGTTCATATTTGTATAAATAAAATTAATATTCGAGCTTATGAAATATTGCTATAATTTATAAACATGTATTGGACGGCTGCACGAGTTACACATAATTACACATATAAACGTCATGATATAAAATTTGCACTTGGAAGGAATGTTGAATCTACCTTTGTCATTCGTATTAGTATTTCGGGTAGAATTATTGTCAAAATGGCGGTTTTACAATTGCGACGAGGAATAACATGTACAATTTATGAGAAAACGAATATTTTCGCTTTTAAATACTTACATAGATATGTATGTCGTAGATACTATTTTAGTTTTGTTATTATCAAAGGCACTTTGGGTGTAAAAATTACTTAATTTTAAGATGGTTACGTAGTTATTATACTATAGCTTTCAAAATAGCGTACTTGCAAAAAGCAAGACTGAGAGAACCCAATAGCGCCAGTGAGTTGATGGCAGTCGCTTTAGCACCATTACAGCGATGATCCAAGAAGCAGAAGCAGAATGTGACATCATTAAAATAATCACGCTTCACGTCATGTTCTTTTATTGTGTGATTGACGTAATGTGCCAGACGTATGTCCTTTGCGGCTGGACGGCAACCTTCATATTTATCAGCTGGAATATCGGTACGGAAACTCAACGCACTTAAGCAGTCACGCGTTATTGTTTCTTGTGCTAGAAGACAAGCAATTTTTGATTAATGGTCGATGAGTTCGTTCTCCTGAATACAAACCTCCACGTTTCTCAATAATTTTAACACATATGTCATTACTCTCAGGACATTGTTCCCCTAGAAAACCTATGCCGCGCCAGTTAAATTTCTCCCCACAACCTGGAGTGGCCGATGTGCAGCGGTAGCACCATATTGCTGAAGCTAGTGTTGGAACAAAACATGTTACATTTTTTTGGATATCTTGTTTTAAATTATTTTCAACAAAGCTTTAAAGTACTTTTTATTTATGTGACAAGCATCATTTTATTGCATTAATTGCTCAATGATTAATTTTGTAATTCTTAAAATGTGTAAGGTTCAATGTGCGAGTGGAAATTATTAATTCTGTCTCCTCACTCACCTTCACGAATAGCCAATATTGCTACTACACATAAAATAACTATTTCTTTTTTATACATTTTACATACAACAAATAAGCAGTAATTATAAATTAACTGTAAAACCTTTGAAAAGTTTTGGTATACAATAGTTTTGGTAAACAAATATGTTAAACAATTCGGAAATGATTTGACAACGCCCAGCAGTCACTTGACAACCAAAAGTGTCACCCATCACCCTTGCCACCTTGCTGGTGTTTTTAATATGCCACGGTGAAATAATTGCAAAGCGAATTCATAGATAGGTTAACTAAAGCATGAAGCATTAGAGTATTTAAGAATAATATAAAGAAATACAAATATTGATTTCATTATATTTAGTCTACAGATATCATACTTTACTTCTACTTTTATTTATTTTTCAACATTTCACTAAAAAGTATTGAGCTGAACAAACGCTGTGTCAATGTGCAATAAAATTTTAACAATAATTTCTTTGCGGATTATCATATGGCAAGGTCATGATAATGTGTAATGTGAGCATTGACATATCTCGATGTTCCAGCAAAACAAACCGAAATTTTCCAAAATTTTCATTAAAAGGTGATTTTAGATTTCACAAACGTATTTTATTTACATAAGCTTAAAGAAAATACCAAAAATGGACACCAATTCCATTATTCGTGCGCTGATTCACGATATGATAGCGGTGCCGCAGCATAATGATATAAACATCAATTCAGAACACATTACAATGTTGGAAGGGGGAAATACTGCAAGAAATAGTTCAAACGTACGTCGGGGACATACAGCTAGGAAGTCTGCCGTGATTCCACGACGTCAACATCGCGCTCTAGGCTTGCACACATTACCAAAAACTGCGGTTACATATCTGGACGCAACGAAAATACATCGTGTTTGGAAGCGTTATGTGCGTGAAGCGCTCGGTATAGAATCAGGCGACGTTCTGCCTACGGTATATGAGAAAGGTCACGATTCCATTTGCCAAGCGTTGATGAAAATTGATCTGCATGGTGCTCAAATAAAAGTACTGGAATCGAAATGTGAAACCTTGGTGGGATTGATTGGTGTTGTGGTATTGGAAACGAAAAATATATTCAAGATAGTAAGCACAGATGATCGTTTAAGATCGATACCGAAGCACGACAGCGTTTTTTGCATTACCATTGGAAATATAGAAGTTGTCGCTTACGGTAAACAATTATTGACACGTAGTGCAGAGCGCAGCGTCAAAAAGATAAAGGCCGTCTTTGATCCTTCTAGTCTCGACTAAGAAGCGCTTTTACTAAAAGTTATGTATTAAACAATTGTCGAAAAGCGGTCAACTAAACTGATAGTACAAAATACAAAAAATTATATAAAGTAATTCTTAAATGAGAACATAATTTGACAATTGTCTGTATAACCAAAGGTCAATATTAGATTAGGTTACAATAATTTATATACGCCTTTATAACTTTTTTATGCAAAGTCTTGCTTAAGATTCGTAATATTTTTTGCAATTAATGCAAATATTTATATAATAAAAAGCTCTGTAACTGACCAAACTGAGTTCGCTAGCTTTTCATATGTTAACAGGTGACACAGCGTGCTCTGCTTTCAAATTCGAGTCTTCAATTGTTACATTTTTTAACACCACAAAAAAATACCAACATCAGGAGAAACTAACATTGTAAAAATGTGGTTTGCAGCTCTTCCATTATCAAATAAAGGTAGTATAGTGTAGTTGTGCAGCTGTCTAAATAACTGTCCATAAGAATGTGTGTATTTTAATACTTGACGGATGTCGCTTGCAGTCTGTCGCGCTCTATGTGTTTAGCACATGATAAAGAAAAAGAAAAAATTCGCATGCTTGCTTTCAGTCAGCTGTTTTGTGCTTACGTCACGGTAGACTTATTATTCGCCCGCGCCTTTGAATGTGAATTCGAATGTTATTTTCAGGGGTAGTATAGATTGTGAAATTCTATATTTTTAAAATGCGTTGTGCAGTGTTCGGTTGTAATAATAACAATCGTAAAAATAGTGCTACGAAGTGGAGATTTTTTCATTTCCCTAAGGATAAAACCTTAGTTAAACAATGGATTAATTTTTGTCGTCGGACGGATAAAATTAACGTTAAAAATGCGTGCATTTGTGAAATGCACTTCGCGCCAGAAGCATTCGAAAGAAATTTGCAGTTTGAAATGGGTAATTATAGCATTTTGATTACAATAATTTTACTTTTATAACCAAGCACTCTTGCAGGTTTAAGTTCGCGGAATCCAACGAAGTTGCTACCTAGCGCTTTTCCCACGTTAACCACTGCTCCTGCAGAGGCTACTGAACGGCAGAAAAGGATGGAGTCTCGTTCCAAAAAAGAGATATTGAAAACAATATTGAAGAATACCGCCCCTGTTGAAGTAATTCAAGAAGACGAGGTTAGACAGGCATTTCAAACTGTAGGGGAGGAGGTCATCGATGAGAAAGACGAGAAAATACTGCATTTGGAAACAGAAATGTTTGTCCTAATCAAGTTTCCTGATCAAATATCTTTTACTTACATAAGTATGTGTATTTCTTATTCTTTTCAGACAAAGGCTGAATAGTCTTGTTAGCACTTTGAATAAGTGCAAAAACGAGCAGTTAGAAGAAATTAAACGTCTTAAGATTTCCCTTAAAATCGCGGAATTTCATAGAAATAATTTGGAGCAAAAACTTAGCTGTATTTTCACCAACGGCCAGGTAAGTGCCCAAATTCTATAAAGTATATTGTAAAATATACTAAAGTTCATTAGGCATATGCTTGTACATAGATTGAAAAATTAAGAGACGGAAACAAACGACGCAATTGGAAAGAAGAAGACATAGCTATGTCGATCACGTTATATTCAACGAGCCCGAAAGCGTACAAACTCTTAAGGAGCAACAACTTTCCTCTACCAGGTGTGCGCACTCTGCAATGGTGGTCAAAGAAATATGATATAGCTCCAGGTGTCAAAATAAAAAATTAAATAAAACAATGAAAATACAATGTATGTACATGTTCACTATATTGATATTTCTTTATTAATAGTCACTTAATTTGATGTTAACTTTTGATGACATTAATTTTATTGCATGCCTGCAATACAAAATTGCTTCTAATTGCAAAGAAAAACAAACGACTGAAAATCAACTGATTGTACGTTGGCCAACAGTGACGTAGATGCGCAGAACGAAGAAAATTTGAACTCATCTTTGCATAATCTTTGTTTCCATTCTTCTTGATCCTATACCATGCTTACCTGGTTTCACTGGAATAAAAGTGTTAACGAAAATATTAAATTCGTGGGCAGAGTTACATAGTATTTATGTTTGTACATACCAAATTTAATACTGTTAGACTTAAGAGAAATAAGACGATCCAAAACTTTAAAATATAATGAAGCTCTAATTTACTTTCAAGTTTATGCAAGTAGGACTATAGATCCATAAGGAATAGTTATCTATTTTGTAAGCCAAACCGCGTAATCGGAGCTAAAATTATTAATGCGATATGTGATATTAGTAGGATTTATGAAATCGTTCAATATTGTTTTTCATTGAAACATTTAAAAATTACATTTGCACAATTCTTTGGAGGAATACTTGAAGTTGAAAGGATATTACTCTAAGGTTAGGTAAGTAAGGTTTTAATCTAGTACTTATTATTTTAAAAGATGGGATCGCCCACTTTTTGGTGAAATTGGTTATAACAGAATCGTTTCATTCCATTTTAATTCGTAACATTTGCGCTGCGAAATACAATTTTAGATTTTACACCCCAAGTTATTTCAGACAATGATGATGGGAACAGCGAGTTTCTTTCACAAGTATGTCTGCACCTCGACCATTCATCCAAAATTACCTAAATGAGTTGTTAAGAATTTTGGAATATCAAATAACGGATCAGAAGGCCTTACTTCACGACTGAGAGAAAACGGGCATTTTTGACGGTTCTCAACTCAGGAAACTAATAATTAAATCACCAACATTTAATTGATTGTATGGCAGATAAGGAGAATATTACATGAATTGAATTTATTTGTGTTGTGGAGTTTTTTCTTCTTCTTCTTTATTGGCGTAGACATCGCTTACTCGATTATAGCCGAGTTAACAACAGCGCTCGAGTCGTTTCTTCTTTTCGCTACGTGGCACCAATAGGTTCCCAAGCGAAACCAGGAGTCATGTGTCGAAGTTCTTGCAAGTGAGGAAAGTTCTCTGATCGCCATTCACTTGGGAGTGGCCAGAAACGGTTTTTTTTACATATGACTCAAGCAGCTCACGACTTCCGGTCTTTGACCAAGTATCCTCCGGGTAGACTAAGAACATCCGTTTGAAGGCGAGCTAAAGTGGGAAGGCGAATCATCCCCTCCACAAGGTTGTGCGGTAGGTTTGGGACCCGTCACGTAAGAGACATTACCAATGAAAAAAGCGCAAACAGCCTCGGATTGTTTTTTAGGAAATGAAAAATCCACAGACCACATTCAACACATTGAGCAGCTCATGTTGTACTCGCAGATACCAAAATTTAACATGAGCATAAAGATTAATTTCTTCTTTAACCTTTTAAACCTCTTTTCAGAAAGTTCAGGTGTCTTAAGCGAAATATTTTGAGAGAAAATATACAGATACAGCGTTTCTAAATATGTTCGTCGCTTCCAGAGAAGAGTGGGAAAGGGGCGAGGTGGATAGGTTCACAGAAACAAGCATATATAAGGATGGCTCGAAACTAGGACACAAAGTGGGAGGTGATGCATTCTCTGCCAAACTAAATACCAAAATCGCCTTCCGTCTAGTAGACCACCACAGTGTCTTCCAGGCGTAGATCGCAGCATTTGGAGAAAGCCTTATTGTTCTGACAAGGACTAGGCATATTTTGATATATGCAGAGTCAGGTGGCTTTGAGACCACTAAAGTCTCCAAGGATCTTGTCTAAGATAGTGAAGGAATGCGTTGATCTCTTGGTGGACCTGATCAACCTGCAATGGGTTCTAAGATATTATGATATCCCTGGGTAGTGTGAAGAAGATGAAGTTGTCAGAACAACTGGAATATTAAATCGACAAATACCAATCTACCTAACCTAACATAAGTGATTAACAAGGAGAATGCTTTCATCAGGATATTCGCACTTTGGAGGTGCGTTAGCACGGTTACTGTTACCAGTTTATAAAATTCATGCATATTATTCACCCACTAAAGATTAGTAGTGGAAGATTAGGTGGAAGCTATATAGGAATCTACACCGACCCTTGATTTATATTTGTACGACGCTTTAGCGTTTAACAGAACTTATAGGCATCTATACTGATATTTTTCCACAACTAGTGTATTTCAATCGTAAAGAAAAAACTGAAAGTATTAAAAATATATTTGGGTTTCCCCTTTATGTGGCAACACGTCTAATTTAATTTAAATAACCAATTTTATAATTCAAATTCAATAAAAACAACGGTTTGTTCATAATTCGCAAATGTTGATATTTGGAGCGTTGTTACTAAAATTGTTGTTGCTGCACTCTATGCAAGCCACCGTTAATAGGCATCCGCTAAATGACAATTATATTCACTGTTAATTCTAAAATAGCCGCAGCTGCTAACTTAAAAATTTTTCATCAAAATTCAAATTTAGACTCACTCAATAGACAACGACCATAAAAGCATTGCACAAATTATTATTTATTGCATACACTTAATAGCGCAATTAATAGACATATACAATGGCAATGCAACGGCTACTAAGTTACTCTTGGTCAAGGTCGACTTGCAGAAATGACGACGCAGCATTCCCATTTCGCCGCAAAAATTAACGGAGTGCCATTAAAAATATAACAGTAACAAAAACAAGCGTAATAGTAACATAGTAGAACAACAACAACATGAAGAGTCCACGTGAAACGTCAAATTTAGAGCACTGCATTCCGACGACACTGCGCGAAAACCAGATCAGCTATAAATTAAAGCAAACGCACTGCAAAAACAAAAAGGAAAAAAAAAAAAACAAAATTTTGAAAAATAATTTTAAAATTTGGAAGCATTTTTGAGGAAAAGAAATTTAAGTGAAACAACTAAAAAAACATATTTTTTAGTAAATTGGAAAACACAAAAATATTTTCGAAAAAATGGGAAATTCCGAAAATTTAATTTTGTTTTTTGGAAACAAAAAAAAAAATTTAAAACAAAAGTAACATTTATACACATATTCGTTGAATTTATTTTTTTGATAAATTTTTAATTATATTTCAATTTTTTTTTATAAAAGTTAAAATTTTTACGCCACACCGGTACGCCGTTACTTCTCGTACCGCTGTTAGCGCTGTGTTGTTTTGAAATGTTTTGTGCTGCTGCGCGGCGTGCTAGATGGACTGGGTTTGCCCCAGCGCTGCCGGCGACCCTGAACGCGGCGAAAGAGGCCAATAGCCGGTAACTAACTAGTTTGGTACATATTTTTTCCCAACGATCAATCTACAAACGTTTTTGCCCACTTTTTGTATATATGTTAGTGTGTGTGTGTGGGGCTGTGTGACGCTTCTTCTTCTTCGCTGGCTTTAACTTTTTGATTTCAATAAATTGGAATTTTTTGTAATTTTTATTGTGTTTTAGGTTTGGTTTGTTGTTATTTTTTTGTTTTAATTTTTGCGCGCCGTCGCCAGTTGGGAATTTTGGCGTCATCCAGACGGCGGTTACTTTCACGAACTTGTTTGCCAAATCTCCTCCAAATTGAATTTTTAATCATTAAATGACGTAAATTTAAATGGCATTTATTTGTATTTTCTTTCTTAAATAACTTTTTTCTAGCCAAAGTAGCTGCTGTTTGAATTATACAGTTGGCTAGTGGCTTTTGCGACTTTTTGGGTAAACAAAATACCAAAATCAGCGGGCAGTAGCGTTGCTACTAGCAAATATGTAAACAATGCCAAAATTAGCATATGTTTTGAAAGCTCATTAATAGATGGTTAAGGGCTGGAGCGTAGCGGCTAGTGAATGTCGGTAAAGAAATGAAAATCTTATATGACAAATTGGCAAAAAAAAATTTAATAAAAACAAGAAACAATTTCTACGTTTTATTGCAAACATTTTAAATGAAATAAAAGTAAATAAATAGAGGAATAATTATATATAGAAAACATTGGAAAAAATTTAAAAAAATTTAAACCCGGGGAAAAATATGTAAAATTCGCAAACAAAAAGGCAAAAAATAGAAGAAAGATATAAGAAAATTTGAAAAATGAGAAAAATAAATGTTAATTAAAATAAATAATAAATTACAGTCTGAATAGATGAAAAAATGCTATTAAGGAAAACACATAGACGTCACCAAATTATTAAGAAAAATTAAACCAAACTTAAGAGAATAAACAAAAGGAATTTAAAAATAAAATAAATTATTTAAAAAATTCAAAGCAAAAAGTTAATAAATGGAATTGAAAATAATGTAGCGAAAATTAAAAAAAAAAAATGTAAAATATG